TCAGTTATTGTACTTTCTCCTATGTGGCATTGACAGATCTGTTGTAATCAGAAATGAAGCCTTATTCTAAGATCGTCCTTTAGTGAGGAACCAAAGATTCACTCCGAGACTGTAACAGCACCGTGTCTGTATCATTTCCTCTTAACTGTAACAAAAAAATCTCTCTCGCTTCTCTCGTGACCACTGTGTTAAAGTTTTAAAATAATCCTCCTTTACCAAGTTGTAATGTTTCCTTTTAATCGGAGATGAAGTGGTTTATTCAGCCATGTCTTTTTTTTTTTCGTCTACCGTGACGCTGTGCTCTGGTATAGCACCTTTTCCTGTAATTTGTTTAAAAAAAAATCTTCATTGCCAATTACACTAGTCACTTTTAGTAGGGAACTTGACGAGGAGTGTGAATGTGGCGTTTTGTGTGCTTGTATTTTTCCAGATGTTTTTCCAGATGTTTGTAGCACGCAGGACCACTGTGATTATTTTCTACTTAGTATATTTTACTCACAAAGAAATCTAGCTGTAAGACACAAAAAACACCTTAGAGACATTTCCATTTTAGTAATAAAACATCTGATGGTGCACGTGTCTGTTTTATTCTCTCTTCTATTATTATTATTATTTTTTTTTTTATTATTATTTTATTTTTTTTTACATAAATACTTAATATTTTATTATGGTTCGCAATGTCCATCAAATATGTTCCTGGTTTTGTGTGAAATGTCAAGAAGTAGAAAAAAATTTGCATACATTTTCCAGTGTGAGACCTTTGAGAAAGGTCTCCTTGCATGGATTTTTTTTCCATTGTTGAGTTGCAACAGAAGGGTATCATATAGGAAGAAGGAAATATTTGGCTAAAATGGGGGGAAATGTGGTAAAAGTACAAAAAATTCTGGATAAAATAAGAAAGAAGTGGGATAAAAGTACAAAAAATGTGGGTAAAATGGTGTAAAAGTAAAATAATATCTGGCTAAAATGAGGAGTAAATGGGGTAAAAGCAAAAAAAAAAAAAAAAAAGATGTACTAAAATTCGGTTAAAATGGCATAAAATGAAACTGATATCAGGCTGAAATGGGGTAAAAATACAAAATCAGATTCAACAGCAGTGTGCGTTTTCATCTCAGGATGTTTTGAGGATTGAACTTTGGTGACCCCATGACCCCAAACGTGACCTTTGGAACGCTTTCAGTTCCCTCGAGGTATCAGACTGTGGGAACATGGAAACACTTCTTAACATCCCACAGACACATGAGCACTCTGTGTTCTGTCTGTTTCTCTCTCTCTCTCTCTCTGTCTGCGTCTATCCACCTATCTGTCTGTCCATCTGTCTGTCTATCCACCAGTTTATCTGTCCATGTCTATCCACTTGTGTGTGTCTGTCCACCTGTCTATCACTATCTATCTACTAATTTGTGGATAGAAAGATATATCTATCCACCTATCTGTCTGTATCGGTCTACCTGTCTATCTATCTGGCAGGCTATATCCCTACCTGTCTACCCACCACTGGTTTACCTGTCTGTCTGTATGTGTGTCTGTCTGTATCTATCCACTGACTATATCTATCCACCTGTCTATCTGTCTGCATGTGTTTATCCACTGCTTTACATTCGTCGAACATATTCACCCAACACACACACTTAACCTTTAATCAGATTACACAACACACTAACAGCCTTCTGTACAGCTACATCCAGGAGGAAGTGTGTGTGTGTGTGTGTGTGTGTGTGTGTGTGTGTGTGTGTGTGTGCGCGCGCTATCTGAATGGTAACAGCATTAGGAGCGATGCTTGGTCAGCTGTATAAGCACAGTTTATGGACAGATGGAGTATGTACGATATGATTATATGATAAGGACACACACTGGTGAATTGTTCTGTATCAGTAATGTGCTCATACTGATAACGTGCAGCTGACGTGTTTTCTCTTGAAGGACACTAACGAAATGTTCTCACAGTAATGTTCTCACCAATAGAGTGTTTGAAAAATGCTACGCAAAAATAACAGGCTAGTCAGTAAATAGTTTTACTCTTTAACATTTATTAAAGGAGTCTCCTGTATCAGACTTTGTGGTTTCTCAGTGACATGACAAGCTGCGTTTTTGTTTGTTTGTTTGTTTTGTTTTGTTTGTGTGTGTGTATGTTATTAACTTTGGGAAAGAAAAAAGAGGCTGGGGAGGGAACGACTATTTACAAGTGAGAACAGGAACTAACTTGTTTAGCAGACATTCCACAACACAAACTGTAACTGTTAATGGATAAAAATGGACATTCCTTAATAAATAGCAACATAAAACAACAAATAACATAAAATTATATATATATATATATACACACACACACACAAATATATAGAATCTTATTTTATTTTAGCTGTCTGCCGCAGTATATTGAAGTTTAAATTAATTAATGAACATGAGCTCAAAGTGCAGACTTTCAGATTTAATTTGAGGGTATTTACATTCAAATTGGGTGTAGGAATTACAGCAAATCTATAAACATCTAAAAAAAATAGCTGTACAGTTCTGGAACAACATCCTATGGACAGATGAGATGAAGATCAACTTGTACCAGAATGATGGGAAGAGAAGAGTATGGAGAAGGGAAGGACCTGCTCATGATCTGAAGCATGCCACCTCGGCTAATGGCGTAGGAGTGTGTGGCTGCTAATGGAACTGGTTCCTTTGTATTTACTGATGATGTGATTGCTAACTAAAGCAGCAGGATGAATTCTGGAGTGTATAGGGCTATATTATCTACTCAAATTCAGCGAAACGTGTTAAAACTCATTGGACGGTGCGTCCCAGTGCAGAAGGACAATGACCTGAAGCGTACTTTGTTAGCAACCCAAGACTTTTTTTTAAGTAAACAAGTGGAATGTTCTGCAATGACCAAGTCAATCACCTGACCTGAATTCAACTGAGCAACTGCATTTCACTTGCTGAAAGCAAAACTGAAGGAAAACCCACAAAACCAGCAGGAAGTGAAGACAGCTGCAGTAAATACCTGACAGAGCATCACCAGGGAAGAAACCCAGCTTCTGGAGATGTCCATGGGTTCCAGACTTCATGCCATTGATTACAAAGGATTTGCAACCAAGTATAAAAAATGGCAATTTATGATTATGTTAATTTGTCCAATTACTTTTGGTGCCATAAAAAAGGGGGGGGGGGGCCACATAAAAAAAAATGTTGTAATTCCTATACCTTCTACCTGATTTTCACCAAGCTGAAAGACTGCACTTTGAGTTCACATTTATTATTTATTTTCATCTATCTATCTATCTATCTATCTATCTATCTATCTATCTATCTATCTATCTATCTATCTATCTGTCTGCTTGTCTGTCTGTTTATCTGTCTGTCTATTTGTCTGTCTGCCTGTTTAGCTGTATTTTCTATTTTTCTCTCTGTTTGTCTGCCTATCTATCTAAAAAATGACATTGTATGGTGAATCACAACACGCCTCTCTCTGTCTCTCTCTCTCTGTCTCTCTCTCTCTCTCACTCTCTCTTTTTAAGCATTTCTTTCTTCCATTATCACAGGCCACTGCTCTTTATGTGAGTGTGTTTCCATAATGAGGAGCAGAATTTCCTTTAGAAGGCACATTAGGAGTTTATATTACACTTCAGATTGTATGGAAACAAACTTGTCCATAAAACCAGAGAAAGTCTTTTATTCATTAACGTTCATTATTCTTCGCTTTTCCATGGGTCAGATGTTTTAATTACTCTTCCTGTGGTTTACCCATCTCAGTGTTTATTCATATTTTATAAGAGAGCATATATGCAATGATCCTGCAGCACTGAGGCTAATAAACTCATTTTTTTCCATTAAACTAGAAGCTGCTGCTGTTTTCTGCAAAGTTTCTGAGAAAATCTATTTCAAGAAGCTGCAATTTAAGAAACAGTCTCATTTTTATGTTCAAATTTAAAAGTTTCAATCCAGTGCATTAATCCTAAATGTGATTTGTTTCATTTTCTTGTTTCTATTTAGCTAGCTAGCAGGTTAAAAAAAATAAATAAATCTTGGGGGGCTCATTGTTAGAATATTTTTTACATACACAGTTAAATGTTCAACATCCATTATTCTATTTTTCTTTTTTAACACTGTAGTTATATTATTTGTTAATGATTTTTTCTTTTATTTTCCACTGCAGCATGCAGCTGAGAATGTAGTAAGTTCATATGAAACTGTAGTTCTTGAATCTTCTTAATGTTTAATCGTATGTATAAATTAATATACTTTGTCTACTCACATTTCCTAAACCTATTGGCTAAATGAAAGTGTTTGCTTTAATGAGCTTTGTGCTGCTTAATATAGGAGAATAGATCTAATTATTAAACATGTGATATATAGTTTATTTTCACATATTTAAATATCCAATAATCCAATAAACTCTTTTAAAATGTACTGTTTTTCTATGGCTGAATCTCAGACTATGTTCTCTTCTGTTCTATGTTCTATTTGGGTCTCAAAATAATGATTTTTTTTAAAAGTAAAATCAAGCTATATATCATCAACATGAAAAGACTGTGAGTAAATAAATAAAAACGAATCCAAAAATTACAGTCGATCAAACATTTAAAATAGAGACGCATTTTCACTTTCATTGGTTAGTTAGTAATAAAATGTTGATTTTTGTGTCTTGGCAATGTCTCAGATTAAAAAAGAGACACAGTTTGACCTTCTGTGGTTTAAGTGATACAAACACACAGTGTAGCTAATGCTAATGTTCACTATGGCACTGTAAAGTTATAACATTAATATTCAAATACATTCATATAAAGCTGGTAAGTAATTTGTTAATGCAGTTATTAAAGGAGCAGGACCACCCGAGTGTAACAGCTCTCTGGATTAAGAGCAACGCTGTGAGTATGACCACAGACCATTCCTGCCTGTTTACCTGTCTGTTTACCTGTCCGTCTGTCTGTCTGTCTGTCTAGCTAGCTAGCTATTATCTGGCTGTGTCTCTGTTGTTTATTTACTTATTTAAAGTTAAAAAAAACCTGGGCAGTGGTAGCTCCGTGTTTAAAGCATTGTGCTACTGACTAAAAGGTCCTGAGTTTGAATCCCAGCATTGCTAAGTTGCTCCTGCTGGGCCCCTGAGCAGGGCCCTTAACCCTCAACGGCTCAGTTGTATAAATGTAATATCCTTTCACTTCTTTAGGTTGCTCTGGTTAAGGGTGAATGCCATAAACATATTTATTTTTATTATTGCATTTCTTTGTTAGTTTGTATGTTTAATTATTGAAGGGGAAAAAGCAGAGAGGCAAGAGCATTATCTTTTTTTAAAATTTATTGTCATGTTTTTATTAAAATGACATTTATTTGTTTTTACTAAAAGGAAAAGCAGTGAGGCACAAATATGATATTTTTAATTTTCTGTCTATTTGTTTAATTTATTTCTTTAAAGAAATACATAAAGGCAAAAACGTAACTGTATTCTGAATTTGTCATGTTTTTAAAATTAACTAATTTATTTATTTATGTGTTTGTTTTTTTAAAGAAAGAAAAAAAGTCAGAGGGGCACAAACATTATTGTATTTAAAATTTACTGTCATTATTTCTTTTCTTTTTTGAAACAATGAAAACCACTCTCAAGCACTGAATTTTAATCATTCCAGGAATCCTCAGCTGATCTTTGAGGGCCAATCCTGGAGGCGTGCTGCACCTTGTCTACTCCATTATTAATTCAGATGTCGCTTCTCTTTTCACGTCTTTTCATCAGAGTTGCTTTAATTAGAGTCAAACCCAACACACCCAGACTCTTTCATTAACGTGGATTCTGCCTTCACTTCATCTGACTTCCTCTCAGCACCGGGACGTGTTCCTCGTTCCTTCAACGTGCTGTCAACTCCTACTCACCCCGACAGAAATGCAGTCGTTATGCGGAATAGGAAGGGAATTTTTTGTGTGCATTGTGTTTTCAGAGATGCAAATCTCGTGTGGAATGTGTGTGAGTAAGATCACTGGCATGTGACCACGTGGAATCAACATTTTTTCCATTTCTCTTGGGGGAGAACAATCCACTGCCCACAACAGCATCTCTGTCATTTATCCTTGAATAATGAGGTTTAGCATAACGTCAGGGTGAGTCAGAGGATGTGGAACAAACACACACATGTCTGGGGTCAAATTATGAAATCTAAAGGAAGATTTGCAGTAAAAATGTTATTTTGACTCTTTCTTGGTGCAAACAAGCATCAAAGCCACAAAAAGGACCCAGAAATATCCAAGTTTAGTTAAACAAGGCATATTTATTTGTAATGGATTTGTTTCTATGGCAAAATAGTAATAGTAACACCTATATCACAAGAGGAAGTGATATAGCAAACATTCCACAGTAACAGGTTTATGCTGCCTTCATCTTACCTCGAAACTCAGAATTATGTAACGTTTCAAGTTTTTTTTCAAGAACTTTGTTCCAGAAAGTTTGTTCAAAGAGAATTGTTTTTTATGTAAATATACAAAATAATGAACATCTCAGTTCTATAATTTACAATAACTAATTTACAGTAACCTCATCAGCTTCTCTGAGGTAATCAGAGACTGCTGATTGGTAGACTTGGAATGGAAAGTTTCTTTTTTCCATGCAGCATAGACAACATAGACTACATTCTGCCACCTCATTATCAGCACACGTCACTTTTTCAATGTAGAATTAAAAAAAAAACAACACCTTATCAAACTACCGAGGTCTGGACGTCAGTGTCCTCATATCTAATTACGGTCATGTCCCCAGATACTGCAGGTTCACCTTAGATATCTGAAAGCATACAGCGAGTCTTCAGGGCCGTCTGTGGTCACGGCCTGTGTGAGAAAACAGTGGCTCTTTTTCCCCCGGATCCTTCCAGACACGCTGATTGCCTTGTCTGGGAAACCACTGTGTGTAAATCAGCTTCTGTGTACGCATTCCTCAGGTGGAACCACACACTAGACAAGACGGAGGCAGCTGACATGGTGAGCATTCAGGACAGAATGGCCTTGTTTTTCTGCTGTGATACAGATGTACAGATATTGGGCCTGGTTTAGAGTGTGTTAGATCGGGAGAATGTCATATGTTATAGAATATATACTGCTTCATGACAGTGTGCAAAGACACAAACACAAAGACCAGGAAAACACATTACATAAGAGGAATAAACCACTTCAGAATGTGCTGTTACAGAAAAATAGAAAACCTTCGTTGTGGTAACAGTAACTCCATTTTATAACATCGCCCTGTCATTGATTAGTTTCCTATGACAGCATAACACAGAGTGTTTTATTCCGTACATATTGCACAAAACGGGTTTTTGTGGCTGTCTTTACTCAGCAGCTGTGGCAGCTTCTTTATTTTGTTCACTTCTCATTAATTCTCAGTACTCAGTACTACACGTTTGGCTACAGACCCAAACTAAATGGACATTAAGATTCTGATTGGTCAGAAGTTGTTGTTCAATTTTTTTATAAGCTCTTACAGTAATGCTGATAATCAGAGGTTTATATTAATGCACTCGTTCTAATACGTTATTGTTTCTATAGCAACAGTTCATACACAGGGACTTGTATGATGGATGCTCCACATAAACAGGTTAAAAGGAAAGATGTGTAATTATTTGATATGGTGAAGTTTTGTTTAAGGAGATGTTTATTTAACATTTATGGAAGGAGTCTCCAGTGTCAACACTTTGTAACAGTCTTGGCTGAGGTTTTTTTTATCTTATTAACTTCAAGAGAGAGAAAAGAGAGGCTGGTGAGGGAACGATTGTTTATAGCTGCTATAACAATACGACAGAATGACTGTTTATAGCTGCTATATAAATGTAACTACAAGCAGATAAAAAGTATTATTGTTAGTAATATTGTTAGTATTTGCAAACCGCTGTGGTATAAGAGGAATAAAACACTCCAGGACATGCTGTTATAGAAGAATAATCAACTTTGGGGTGGTAACAGTAATTCAGCTTCATCATACTGACCCGTGGTTGATTATTTTCCTACGACAGTATGATACAGTGTTATGAAATTGATCAAAAGTACTGACTAGATAATAAAGCCATAGATCTAAACTCACAGTGCTGAGCTACCTTTTTTTTTTTTCATGCTTGACAGGGAAGAAAGGAGAGGAGGTTAATCCGCTATAATTTAGGACTTTGCGTCGTGTTGCAGGAGCAGTGGACTTCTTTCCACCTCACTGCCCCTTTTCTGCAACCAGACTCAAACCACCTCCTCCTCCTCCTCCTCGTTCTCCTCCTCCTGTCTTTTTGTCTCTTTTCTGCTTTTTGCCAGGCTTCAAACAGCTATTTATGCGTGCCGCTGTAATTGTGTCACCGGCAGAATCTGCTTGATTTCTTTTCCGTTTTTCATTTTGCATGACAATGGAGCTTTTCAGCAGCTGCCTCTTTTATACACACACACACACATACACACACACATTAGGAACCCTTTGAGAGGAAGATGTTTCATCTCATGCCTGTTTGGATACTCTGTGCGTGTGTGTGTGTGTGTGTTAGAGACTCTCCATTTGTATAGTTTTGGCCCAAAGGGAATGAAGTGATTGATGTTCATTTAATTGATTTTATTCCAATTTACTTAATAATTAAGTCATAAACATCCAAATCTCTAGGCTTCTTCTCCAAAAATAATTTAAAAAACTATATATTTAAATAAAATAAAATTCCCAAAAAACTGGCCATGAATATTTTACTGTGCAGCTATTCTTGAATTTCAATGCTGCATGAATTTCAGAATCTTTTCACTCACAGTAAAGTTACAATAAACCCCCAGAAATAATGAAATATTTTAAAATGACGTTTCTTTCAGTTCTTGCTCCAACGGTCAGCGTTGTTTGTCCCATGAGAGAGTACCCAGCTGTTTTTGGGCGGGTTTTCCATCTGGCGTCTCTCCTAACCTTTCCATCCTCCTCTCCTAAGTGGTCTGGATACACACACACACACACACACACACACACTCTTCTCATGGGACTTGTGCTGGGCATGAGGCCAACCACTCTGTTGCTGTGGCTCTGAAGAGTATGTGACTTTTATAAAACTGCTCTTATTCAATCTGTACACTCTCTTGGATTTCATTTCATTTGTAGTAAATCTAAGTGGCATTTATTTTTTTAATCCCGAATGCCTCCAGTTTTTTTTTTTAACAACCTGCTCATCATCTTGCTGAGTGATTTAAAAAGCACGCAGCACACCTTCAGCCCTAAAGCGATGAATGTGTCAACCACACAGCACCTGGCAGGAGTATTCACCGCCCCAGTAGGCACATGACCAGCAGTGTTGTGCTAGGGACTGAATAACCACATTTATATAACAGTGCTGTTGAATTCTGGATTCTGATCGGTCAGAAGGTGTTGATTAATTTTCTATAACAATAGCTGTGACAATAATGTAGCTGCAAATCATAGGTGCATTAATAAATATTATTTCTAAAGTAACAACTTGATGTCTTGTATGGCGGATGCTCCATATAAACTGATTTTTAAAAAGGAGTTTACGACTTGGTAACATGAGAAGCTGCATTCTTAATAATTTCAAGAGAGAGAAAAAAGAGAAGCTGGTGAGGGAACAACTGTTTATAGCTGCTATAACCTAAGTGACAACAGGAACTAACTTGTTTCGCAGACATTCCACTTGTCATCCTTTAATAAATAAAAATTGTAATCATTTGCAATTTGCAGGAAAAAACTGTCTATTTATAGGAAAATAATCAACTTCAGTGTGGCAACAGTAACCCCGCTTCATCACACCACCCAGTCGTTGATTAATTTTCATTTATCGGTATCCTTACAGGTAGTGTTGCCACTCCACTGCTCCAAATGCTATGGCTAAACTCTAAATATTGGCACCTCTGCACAAACCTTTACCCTGGCCATTTTCCTCTATAAACAGGAAAACATTTACAGTTGTATCACTGACTACACATTTGTGTATGATGGTTTAAATCAGTGTTTTCTAATCCATTTCTAGAGCTCTAGTTCTAGCACTTGGACAGACTTTCCAGCAAGAATACTAACTAGACATTAGCTCGGAGTTATTCTTTTTTAAAACACAAAATTGCACTCCTGAAGGGCTTGTTGAGTCAGATGTG